CGAACGGTATCTCCTACCCTCAGACCTGCCTGGTCGGCGGGACTTCCAGGCACCACACTATTGACCTTTGCGAACGGTAACCCAGATGTCCCTGCACCGGATGTATTGTTGCCAGTCACACTAGGTTGTGACCCCGATGTACCATTCAGACCGCCACCCGATTGTACGGCAGTTTGCGCCCGCTGCAAATTCGCAAAGTGGCTGTGGATTCCTTTCTCCAGATGTGACATCACGTCTTTATGATCGTTCCGCAGTCGAATAATCCGGGCTCGAGTGGTGCGTACTAAATAGTGTTTAGCAAAGGCATTGCGGGGGCGTAAAGCAGTGACTCACTTTGGGCAACATCGATATCGTCTCGTGGGAAGCCATCGAAAGTAGTGAGGGATGTGTTCATATTAACGCCATGCTAGAACAGAAAGCATCGTCAGTCGACATCTCACAGAGTGGCAAGGCTTGTTCAAGATCGACTTTAACTTAACTCACCGAGCCGAGGACGCTACTCAAAGCCGAGAGTTCTTCTTCGATGCGTTCCTTTTCTTGCATGAGATCGACCATGCCGAGCTTGGACAGGTCGCGAGGAGGAGCGCCTCCGGCCTTACGTCCGGAGGCGACTGTTGGGGCATGAATGTTTGAACCCATGGGTATTCCCATACTAGAGTGAGTGTGAGGTTGGTTTAAAACATCGTTGGTTGGATGGAAGATGAAGGAAGGACCGGGCGGCGAGAGCTGTCGCAGACGGATCCCGGAAAACGGCGGTGGGTCTTTCGGTGGGAAATCTGGGGGAGTTTCATCTTCTTGGCATCGCGCGCTTGGAAGAGCACTGCGCAACACCATCATCCATATCTCTTCGAAAATTGAATTTGATTTGAAGTTATTGTAAATGGAAGTCAGAAACAATGTCAGGTATCTATAAAAAGAGTGCCTAATTGGTTAAAAATGCTATTTCAAAATGCTATCTGCTACTACTATGCTGCCGCTAAACCGATATCTAGAAGCCTCAAAAGTAGCACGAACAACACCTACCAAGTTGTGAACCGTCCACCCTCACTGGTTTCGCCGCCTTGACCTTTGCTACCTGGAAAGTCTGGTTAAAGATGCACAGATGATGCCGATGCCCATCGTTTCATCGTTGGGAGCATTGAAAGGCCGTTACCGTGTGGTAGGACCAAACACATTGCCATTTGATTCTCAACCGAGCGGTGCATGATGTAGAGGCAACTTTACTCAGAACATTACCGTAAGTTTGTTTAACCTACTGTGATGGGTCTCATACGATTTGCGTTTGTTCGCACTGGACGTTTAGTTCCAACACGTGAGCTTCCCCGGCGACAGCAAGTATACCATGCTTTCCCCATGTGAAGGACTGTGCCAGTCGTTGCTTCCACTTGCCAGCAAGCACCTCTACTCATGACACACGTTCTCTCCCGTGATTCTGGTTCCGAAGCATAACCTGCTTCTGAGCTCGCATTCCCACTTGGAGTTTGTTCACTTCTACATAAACCCTGCACCATGGAAGAATCCAAGGATATGGGCGAGCCTCCCTTGCTGATCCTGGAGAAGCCCGAATACGTGGTGGAGATAACTGCAACACATCCTATGCCAGCAGATCCTGTGGCTGCTTTCAAGCGTTGGATGAATAGCTTCCGATCCCGAAGAGGCTGTCCCCCACCCGAAAGATACGTCGAGGGTTGGCCGATGGAAGTCCAGTCAGATGATCGGGACCTTCTACCAGACTTGTTAACCTCAAATGAGTTCCAGGAAAAGCAATGGGAATCCTTGTCCCACCGTTCATCCAATCTTGGAACCGTCAAGACGGCTACTCTGAGTATTACTAGTCAAAGTGTGGTACGATCGAGGGGAACTACGCAGAGCACAACAAATCAAAGCATACGATCTGATGCTCGTGAATCGCTCGACAGCATCAGACCTGCGTTGAATCCTTCAATCGACGAGGAAGCTCAGCACAGGGCCATTAAGAGACGACGTGTTCTGCGGGAACTGATCACTACCGAATGTGACTATATTTTCGGTTTGAAAGCACTGGCTGATGTATGATCACCTTCAAACTGAAGTATAGGCACGTGTTGCTGCTTACAGATAGCTAACATATCCTCTATTGTAGGCCCTTTTTATATTCTCTGTCAGACCGGAGATTTACCACAATGTTCAACAGATCCGTGACACGCACGAGGACTTCCTCTCACAGATTCGAAAGCTGACGCCCATATCGAACCTGGCAGCAGCTGAGTTCGATACTTTGATGCCTCAGGGTGTTCACAAGCGCCTGAGTGCAATTGACCTTGGTTTGAGGGCTTTGCATGCCAAGTCTCTGCGATCGCGCAGCTTTAGGACTTCTATGGATTCGCGTCTCAGGGCGTTGGCTGCGGAGACAAAAGAGGCCTTGCAAGTTGCGGTAGAAGTCGGCAACCTGGTGAGTTTTCCTCAGTAGGCTTATGTATTTGTCAGATACTGACATGATATTGGTAGTCGGCATCTTTCACGGCTTACAAAGTGTTCTGTAAGAACTATGGCTTGCTCACAGTAGATGTGAGTCTTCTGCGCCAGTCTGTACCGGATTGGCGTATATTCGACCAAGGCATCGAGGCTCTATCGAAGTCGGTTGCATCATTGGACAGACAGGCACAAGAAGAAAATAAAGCGATGTCTCTGAATGACCTCCTGATCAAGGTCGGGATAGACACCCCTTGGTTCTGCCTGTGGATGCTAACGTTAAACAGCCAATTCAGCGTCTGTGCAAGTATCCCTTGCTGCTTGAGGAGTTATTACGATGGACTCATATTCAAGACGACCCATCTGCCCATGATGGCATCCGGCAAGTCCTCGAACAAGTCCGCGCGGTGGTATGCGAAATAAATCAAATTACCGATAACCCTGTTAGCAAGGCCCTAGTGAAGAAGACGTTTTTGCTACAGAGCTTCATGGATCTGTCAGCAGCCGTGAGTATACCACATCTCCCTACGGAACATTAAGCTGAGGTCATTTGAATCCACAGAACACGATCGATAACATCTACAAGCAACTGGGCCCTTTGAGCCTCTGTGGGGTCCTTCACATCACATACCAAACCCCTGAGTATATCACGGGAGGATACATGGTTTGCATTCTGTTCACCTATCATCTCGTAATTTCCAAACCAAGCAATGACTACCGAAGGCTTGAGCCATTAGCATGTGTGTATATTCCCGACATGAAGATTGATTCGATACGAAACGGGGAAGGTGAGGAAACTGCCTATATCGGCCGCCTTGTATGCTGATTTGTATGCTAAACTCTGTGCTAGGTCTTCGTTGCTATGGCTGTCTTTTCTCGTGGAAATTGATTTTCCAGTCCCAGGGCAAGAACTACGAACTGGTGCTCAGTGCTGCTTCGGCACGCGAAGAAAAGAAATGGGAGACCGAGATGCTCAAGTCTGCAGCCGCATTAACTGACATGCCGAAGTCAGTGGTAGCGAAGCTGAAAGAACACTCATTCCTGACTTTAGAGCTGGCTCCTTTGAGTTGCAGCAACGGTGTCCTGCCTCTGTTACCTCGCCGACCGTCTATGCAGGCATTGGCTACATCGCGGACTCTACCTGATTCACAGAATATCATCATCAAAAAGACGCATTGTCCACATAGACTCCATATGACGGAATCTGTGGACGGGGAACTTGAGCGGCCGAAGGTGTCTTCCTTGTGTCCAGCACTTATACTGACCGCCAGGAGACAGGATCGGATACTCTTAGAGCGTGCTATATCTTCCTTCTACACGCGGGACGTTCTGCCGTACCCTGGGATGACTTTAGGCAAGGGGGACATTTTCCATAGTCCTGGGTCACTTATGAGACACCTGAGCCGCCGGCCGGGATTGTACCGACGCTCCAGCTGTGTGAGCCTCAGCACCGCAGGCTATCCTGCTAAGTCTGCTACGGGAGCGACATGTACCGATGAGAAAGCCCATAGGAAGCTTGGAAAGAGTCAGGAGAAGAATTTACGAAGTGTATCGAGAGGTAAGCCAGCAACTCCGGAGACAGACAAGGGACCTATCTTGGCGCGACACAGCAAGGATTCTATTCGACGGTCCAAAACGTGGAAAGGGAAAGGAGGACCGAATGCGAAAGCCAAGGCTGAGATCATTCCGACCAGTGCTAGCAACAAAGGAACGGAGACTCCCGACGGTTGTTCCTTGAAGACATCTGCTATACGAAGGATGTTTAATTCGATGTCCTCCCGACGGACGAAAAGACAGGGTCGCATGGGGCTTGGGAGTGGAGCGTGATGGAGGTGATGATGCAAGTTGTGTGAGATTTCCTGCAGTATTGCATCAGATGGCCAGGTACGGAGTACAAGTGTGTGGAATATGTATGGGGTTCTTAGGGATTCGTGTCGATTCTGAGGAGAGTGGGGGAGGAGAGATTGACCGGGGCGAAGCGAGACGTAATTAGTAGCATTAGCGAGCCAGAATGCCAGAATGCCAAAAAATGTCCGTGATTGGAATGATGATGATGATGATGCCGATGAGGGAATTGAATTCCATAGGGAGCCATGTTTCTCCACCGGGTGAACCAGAAGCGCAAGAGCAAGTGCAGAGCATCCGCAGCATCAGTCGATGATGACGTCGATGCTCCCGTCGGCACACCCACCTCGATGTATTTAAAGGCCTGCAATGTGCAAAAGAAAGAAGAATCAGATCAAAACCAATCAACTCAATTATCACACGAACTATCTATTAGCTATTAGCATACCCTTTGCACGACTTTCCTCACTTCAATTGCTCTTTCTGCCACTGTTTGCCCGCCTTTGTTTCCGGTAGCATCGTGGTGACGTCATCTGCCCTCACCTCACACGACACACTCTCTCAACTCACTTCATCTCAACTTCCTCTTCTCTTTATCCACCCATCGTCTCTAGCAGCTTCATTGAAAGAAAGAAACTAGACCGTTCTTCTATCCTTTCGTCTCTAAATCACTACAAATCCACTACACACTACACACCACCAACATGCCTCGCCACAACGACCCCACCTCCAAGATGTTCTACAAGGGTGCCTCCGACGACTTCATCGTCTTCGTTGATGACCACGACGCCCTGAACAGATGGCGCAGTGACCGCTCCGTCCCTCTGGCGGATGTCCTTAACGGCTGGAAGATCTTTGTTACGCACAAGTAAGTCCTTGTCCTTGAATAGCCTCGAGTAATCCTTTAGCAGCAAAGCTAACAAGCAATAACTTCCAGGCACGGAGCCCAAGGCGTCCTCGACGGAGCTAGCAAGGCTAGTCTCGAGAATGAATTCGGAACTGCCAATGAAGACGACGTTATAACTCAGATTTTGGAGCGTGGAGAGTACCAGTCTACTATTGTATGTTGATATACCTACCCTTGACATCACACTTGAAAGAGAAGAATAGATGCTAACTGATATGTGTGTGGTAATAGGCTCGCGAACAACAAGGTGATACCAACTTCCGTAATGGTCCTGCTTATCGATAGATTCGTGCGCCCATGTTATTACTTACGCCCTTGCTGGCTGGCTGGCTGGCCTGTTTCCTTCCTCCCCCTCCCTTGATGGGTGTGTGGCGTGATGTTGCAAGAGGGGGGCCAAGGATTGTTAGTAGCATGATGATCGACTGATCGAGCACATGATTATGCTTTTTTACTAGCGGATGAAATGTACCTACTTGTCTATCCTAGCTATCTTCCTAGGAAAAGAGAGGGTAATTGATAAATGAATTGAAATGAATGAAATATATCATGGTCATATATATATTTATATTCTATAATTGTACTCCAAAACGTGACTCTACATCTATTCTATTCTATTTTCACACCACCACCCTTCTCCCCCTCCCCCTCCCTCTTCCCCTCCCAAACTTTCCTCCTCTCAACAACCCACCTCCCCAACTCATCCCAAACCTCCCTCTTCTCCATAACCGACATCCCCGCCGCCAACCCACTCGTCGTCGTAGCCACAAAGACCCTCGCCCCCTCCCACCCCCCATCATCACCACCCACTCTCCCCAAATTCATCCCCTCATCCTGCCACCCATACCTAAACTCCTCCTTCCTAATCCCCCGGCCCACCTTAACCCTCCAAACCGCCTCCCAAATACTCTTTCCGACAAGACACACCGCCTCAGGCCTCTTCTCCCTCACCTTCGCCTCCAACACCGGCACACCCGCATCCATCTCCTTCTTGCTCAGCATGCTCGCGTCCCGCGTAGGACGTTCCACGATATTCGTGTTCCCGATGTTATATAACTCCGGGAGTTTGTATGTATCTGAGGGCGGGTGTCGGATGGGTGTGATCCCCGACCAGTGGAGGAGTTTCCAGAAGAGGTTGCTGGGGTGCGCGTAGGCGTAGCCTGTTATGCCGGTTAGGATTCCAGGGTTTACGCCTACGAGGAGGAGGGTTAGGTTTGGTGGGATGGTGTCGGTGAGGAGGGAGGTGGATGTTGATGATGGGGTGGTGGGTGGTGTGGAGGGTTTGCGTGAGCGGGAAGAGGATTTGGTGGTGGTGGTGGTAGTGCTGCTGGTTGGGGTTGAGGTGGAGGAGCGGGAGCGGGAGCGGGTTATTCGTGTTGATGTTGTTGTTGGTGGTGTGGTTCGTTTGCGTTTTAGAGGAGATGAAGTCATCCTGGTAATGGGTTGTTTTGTAATTGAGAGTGCCGGTGGCGCTGAGGACGTAGGCTTCGCGGTGTGGAAGTAGTGGTTGAGACGACCGTTGAAGCTGGTCTTTTTGTTCACGGGAACGTCGTTATCGTCGTCGTGTTCTTCATCATAAGCTTCATTGTCGTGGTTGAGGGCTGTAGGGGGTATTTGGGTGTTGTTGTCCTCGCGAGGACTGTCTTCGACTAGGGGCATGCTGTTCGCTGGCTGGCGGGTGGACGACTGGTGCTGAGAAAGCTGTCTGTGTTAGTGACAGTAATGCTGCAGAATATTCGCCGGTTAGTGCTGTTGATCGGTTTATATAGGTATCATTTCAGGGGATTGCTAAAAGCTTTTCCTTGGTTGCTGGTGATTTGCCTCATCTCTTGTTCCTCGGTCTGCAGCGCTCCAGACGCTTAACCGTTTTGGGTATTATTGGACGCGGGGTCACGTGATTTTACCTTGGGAAAGTGGCAATAAGGCTTTGAAAGTACTGTGGATGGCGGATTGGGCATAGTACTAGGCTTGTCTATATTTAGATGTATAGCTGTCTTGGAGTGTAATGACTTAAACGAAGCTTTAGCAGGTGATGGAGTATTAATATGTTGGTTGTGGTCGATAGTATATCTATCGTATGGAAGGCATGATCTTGTAAAATGAATTATCTTTGTTTCGAGATCCAAAAGAACTATAATACACACAGATACATATACTCTGGCGTCCAGGCAACAGAGTCCCTATATAACGGCCACACAATCCAGGTCAATAGCTGGACAGTCATTGCTGAATGAAAAAGGACCTTTTATCTGTCCAAACTCCATAAAGCACATATTACCGATATACTAGCATCGCTGGGTATCGTTTCATAAAATCATATCATGTCGTGGTCGTTAAGTGGGAGGTTTCGTGTTGGTACAAGTCACGCTATACCTTGTATTCGCTTCGTTTGGGGAGGGTCCATGGTACAGGGCAAACGACCTATTATCCATCAGTCATGTCTATGGGGTGATCGGTCGGTGTATACGTACCTCGCCCTCACTGTAGGCCCAGAAATACACCCCGATTCCAATAACATAGTATAGAGCAGGGTCCGTTCCCTGGTAGAGGAGCATGGAGAGGAGAGCGCTGAGGGGATAGAAGATCAATCGGAATTCGATGCTGCGGTGCGCGAGGGAGCCGGCGACGTATTTCAAAGGCCATTCCCATGCAAGTCCGAGTAGACCCAAGAGGAGGTTGAGAATCTGAAGAATAGGGACCGGATTCACAGCGCCGTTCAGATTGAGCGTCATAAAGTCCCAGAATACCTTCGGCCAGATAAATCCTTCGATTGCCCCGCCAATTTGGTCTGTATTTAAGTCATTCAGATTAGCATCGTCATATATATTAGATGAAAAGGCGTGGTGCATACAAGCTGAGGCTGTGAGGATGATAAGTCGCGCCCAGTGATTTTTGATAAGTCTTCCCATGGTAGGCAGGCTTTGGCGTATAGTGGGAGTTCAAGCGTCTTCCGTCCGGCGAAAGAGCTCGTTGCTCAAGTATAGACACAATGCTGTTTTTGTCTCATAAACACAAGGATTGCTTGCTCGACCGTAGGGGATCCCTCAACCATCCACCCGATCAATCAATATCGTGTGTGCTATGCTCGTTCCAAATGACATGGCAGGTGGAGTAATGGATGTAAGGTCAAGGTTGGTAAATTCTTCCCCGGCAGTTTGCTTGTGAGGAGAAGTAGTCGTATGTAGTGTGTGAGAGTCGGATAAGCTTTAAATCACAACAATCACATCACCACATAAACTTAATGCAGGAAAAATGAGATAGTATCGGTTCAAATAATCATGTACTGCATGACCGAGCAAACTTCAGCTAATAGACCAGTTTAGCGATGGCGGCCATGGAGGGGGAAAAGAGCAGAAATACATACATTAGTAGCTTCCGGCGCCAACGGAGCAGACCACCTGATTTGCATCTTCTTCACAATAGGCTGAACGCAACGGACTCGCCGTCCTCCGCGCTTCCCCCTCTCAACGCCTGTGATACGTGGATGCGTTTTATCAACCGCTCTCTTTTCTAGCCCAATCAGCTACCAGTCTCTGCTGGAAGCGATCCTCACACCCTTGACTTCTTCACGAGAACACCTCATGATTGGATCTGGTCGCTCGGTGTAGCGTGACAGTGCGAATGATCCTGGGAGCGCCATGGCTGGTCGGATCAATCAAAAGAGACAGAACGTGGAACTGACAGAGATGCATCGGCCGCTAAAGTGTGTTGCCGCAAATCTCCTGCATCCTCCGCTCCACCGTCACGCCCCGTCAGGTCGCTAGTGCATCACACCCCGTTTGGCTGCTGAGCTTTGGCTTCTGAGTGGCTGGATCGAGTGCTACGAAGCGCCCGGCTGGGGCTTCCAGCATCCAAGCTCCTCTGATGGCGGACTATCTTGTGAAGACTTTGAGAAGCGGGGAAATGGCTGCCCAGGTAGTCGGTCTTTTGCCTGCCCCCCAGTCCTTGCTGTGATCTCCATCGGGCGCCTACTGCTACACAACCATAAATACCCGCTGTCAAGTCGTCTATTACCACTTAATATATACGTCTACGGGAAGAGGCAATACTCAAATAAATCCCCGAGATGGAAGAAGGATTTCTAGATCACAGGGAAACCTATACTGGATTCAAGGCTGCTACTAGACAACTCACCGTCTTTTCGCAGCTCCCTATCACTCGAGATAATTATAGCACCGTTCCTACCCACACGGTCCGAGTGCCAATCTATTCGTCGCTAGATGTGATGAGAACCTCAACCGTGCAGGGCCAAGAACTTAGAATTATGCCCCAGCATTATCGTCTGATCCCCTGCTCAACCCACGCCAAGGACTCACGACTAGGTATACCAGGGTCTTCCATTCGAATTCCGGAGATGATTCTGCTTTGGACTAGTACCTGGATCATGAAAGTCTTGGCTCAGAATGCGAGAGCTATATTTGGTAGCAACCAGACCTAAATTGCATCTCGAATCATATTCCTGTCTGTCCCGACTGTCACAGAGGTGCGCTCCCCATGTTGATGGCCGCTTTGACCGCGTGTGACGGGATGCGCGCCTGCACAGCGCTTCTCATAGGCTGGAATTGGCCGAGACTCCACTCTTCACAAAACGAATCAACGGAGCAGCCGGAGGAATATAGAAGAATCAAATATGGATTTACGGGCCATTGATAGCAACTCACAATCCCGGTGCCACATGGTAAGGTTAGTGGCGGATACCGGGAGATGAGGAGATGGCAGTAGGTTCAGAAAAGACGGACTTTAACCTATCATGTCACTACTAAGTGCGCCAATCGCGCGCGACAGCTTAACGAGTGCACCGCAAAGCAAAACTCAAACGGCTGTGTGATTGAGGAGCACACTCGATTGTGGCCTTGAGATACGAGTAGAAGGATCATCTATCCAGTCAACAGAGGACGGTCAGACTCGAGCTCTCTTCATCAAGAATCTGGCGCATCAGGCGATAGTTTAACGCCTGACGGTTTTGCTCCATCTCATTTTCGCCTGAGCCTTGTAAACGGCAAGTTCGGGGATAGTGGTGTCCAACCGGGCGATCCGCTCCCTGCAGGCTATCCTAGCGCACCATAAGTCCGCACAGCGCAGGGGTTGGGGTAAATATAGAAGCAGAAATCCTAATCCTCGTGTCCCTCATCAAATCTTCCCCTCCTTTCTGCAACCAAAACCGTATCTCCGGGTACCAGACGCTTGACACAGGATTTTCAACTGACATCAACCCCACACCAACCTACTCAGAAATTACCCTTCAGGACCTAGGCCCGTTTAAAATAAGAATGATATAATCGGATCTGATCCTTGTTCCTCGATTGGTCCCAGCCTTCTCTGATCGTCGGCTTCTACCGCGTCCTGAACCTCCGGCCATTGACTCTAGCACCTGAGAAATCTAATTCATGAACCATTATCCTCGATAAGCCAAGGGAAAGCCTGTGATCTCCGTGAGTCCCCAGGACTTCAGGGTGCATACGGCTCCTATCAGCGTTTAAAGCGCCTTATCTACTGGCGCCACAGGCTGTCGCTCTGCGCAGGCTTGACTCAGCGGATACTTGGAGCGAAGCGCCAGCTCTTTCGAGAGGACTCTATTTATGGATTCCTAGAGTAGAGTGTCCACCACAATCGTTCCTTTCACTTATGGTACGGGCGCCTTCGAAAGAAATTCCGAAAAAGGCGCACTCAAACCATTCACTCCTTTGAAAACGGGTCATTGCAGGTCAATGATAGAGCCTCGCTAAAAAGTCACTACATGCTTATACTGCCCTGTTAACATCATGGAACATGCTTGGGGCTCATACGTTACCGCGTCAAAGGTCTGGTTTTACTCCATCTTTTGGGCGCTACATTTCGTCATTTTTGCAGTGGGGTGGTAAGTCTGACGGTTCCTAATGACTGCCCGTATATGTACTGAGAATCCTTAGGTATATTCAGGCCTCGGACCAGAGGCTGGCTATGCTCAATACCCTCCAGTATTCCGTTTGGATATCACGAGGCGCTGGGCTAGTGTTGACATGCGATGCCACCCTCCTCTTGCTGCCCATGTGCCGAAATCTTGTTAAAACAATAAGACCTAGGGTGCGATGGCTTCCACTGGATGAGACGGTATGGTTTCATCGTCAGGTCGCCTATGCTCTTTTATTTTTCACCATAGTCCATGCAGCGGCTCATTATGTGAAGTAAGCCAATTTATCTCGACCACGAGGTCATTGCTCTGACAGAAGCAGCTTTTACAATATCGAAAAAGATCACGTCCGCCCTGTTAAAGCAGTTCAAATCCACTACACAGAAGCTGGTGGGATTACAGGACATGTCATGCTCCTTTGCATGATGTTGATGTACACCACGTCCCATCAGCGGATCCGGCAACAATCTTTTGAGACGTTTTGGTATACGCACCATCTTTTCGTACCGTTCCTTCTAGCATTGTATACACATGCAACGGGCTGCTTCGTGCGAGACACAGAAGAGCCTATCTCACCCTTTGCTGGGTCTAGATTCTGGAATCACTGCTTAGGCTACGAAGGCTGGAGGTGGGAACTCGTGGCTGGAGGCTTGTACATGCTCGAAAGGCTGTACCGCGAAATCCGAGCCAGACGCCACACCGTTATCCTAAAGGTGGTTCGCCATCCGTATGGTAAGTCCTACATTTGCCGATATAAGCCTCTGGATTATCCTAACAACGATACACAGATGCCATGGAGATTCAGTTCCGCAAGGATAGTATGAAGTACAAGGCTGGTCAATGGCTCTTCATACAGTCACCCGATGTATCCAGCAACCAATGGCATCCGTTTACAATTACGTCTTGTCCATTCGACCCGTACATTAGCATCCACGTTCGCCAGGTCGGTGATTTTACTCGTGCATTGGGTGACGCACTAGGATGCGGGCCAGCGCAGGCCAGAGATATGGAAGGACTCGACCCGCTGGGAATGTATGAAGTCGCCCTGCATAACGGACAAAAGATGCCCAGACTGCGCGTTGACGGACCATACGGAGCCCCGGCCGACGATGTTTTCGACAACGAGGTGGCCGTCCTCATCGGGACGGGAATAGGTGTCACACCATGGGCATCGATCCTCAAGAACATTTGGCACTTACGATCTGATCCCAAATTAGCCGGCCGTCTCCGTCGCGTCGAATTCATTTGGGTCTGTAGGGACACATCGTCCTTCGAATGGTTCCAAGCCTTGCTCTCCTCTCTGGAATCTCAGTCGGCAGCCGAGGCAGAGTACAGTGGGAAGGCCGAGTTCTTACGCATCCACACATACCTCACACAACGACTGGATGATGACACAGCCGCTAATATTTTCCTCAACTCCGTCGGTCAGGCTGTCGACCCGCTTACGGAACTGCGAAGTAGAACGAACTTTGGCCGTCCGGACTTCAAACGCCTCTTCACTGCCATGCGTGATGGCCTACAAGATCAAACCTATCTATCAGGCGTGCATGGAAATTCGACTACAGAAATCGGAGTATACTTTTGTGGACCCAATGCCGCTGCCAGACAAATCAGGGAGGCGGCCATGTCCACCTCAACGAGGGACATCCGGTTCAAGTTCTGGAAGGAACACTTTTAGACGGCGAGACTCTGCCTATGGGGTCAAAAGACAAAGTCAAGTGGAAAAAGAAACACCAAGCTCTCGATACGAATTGATGACTGATGACTCTCTAATTTTGTTGATAATTGCATGTAACTAGATGTATTTGTCTTGTGATATGAAGTATCGTGTAATATACGTTTCAAGTGTGTCAATTTAAGTCTCGTAATGCAGCATATGAATGACTAAAGCAACTCTTACAGTACGTATGGCTACAGGGAGTGATGAACGAAGGTTCACGTCCTCTCAGCAGCATTCAACCTACAAATTGAACGTGACAGAGTGGAGAATTATTAGCAGCATGATCTTCACTCGGACTC